TATGCATACTTTAAAAGAAATGGTGAAAAACATGTTTGGAGAAATTGATGATCAACAAAACTTTAACGCAATTGAAGAAAAATTAAAGACCATTCACGCTGCAACAACTGATTATAATAGCTTAGAAGCCAATAAATTTCTACAAAATTCAAAGATTCCTCATAATCAAATTATAAAATTAGAAAATGGAAAGGAAGTAAAGCGTGGAATGCAGGTTGTTAAAAAATTCTATCAACCCATAGCAAAGCCAGTTGCACAAAAGGAAATCGTAGACCTAACCTCGACAGTTGAAAACTCTAAAGAAAAACATGTCTCTATTCTAACAGAACTTAAAGATTGTCCAAATATAATAACTTTGTAAGGTGCATTATTTAAAATATGTGAGCTTTTCTTTTTTTTAACAGAAAACTTATTATTTCAATTAATAGTTATGGCACAATGTTGCTCAATAACAAATTATATGTCATCTCAGAATGGGCCGAAGAAGGTGACCTTAATACATATCTGAAAGAGCATCCAGGTTTATCATGGGAGTTCAAATTAAAAATTTCCTGCGAGATTGCAAGCGGTCTAGCTTTTTGTCATTTCTGTGATATTTTACATCACGATATAAGAAGGTTCACGATTAATTTTCTTATTTATATTTTATCCGTTATCCGATTCTAATTTTAATCTTTAATATTCAGTCATAATATACTGTTAACGGAAAATCTAACGGCAAAGATTAGTAACTTCAGGGCTAGTCGTAAAGAAAAGGACCATACGACACCCGTGAGGGATTTTATGCTAATATCTAAGTAAATAATAAAACATAATAATAACCATCTTCTTTAATGTTTACTAATCTATGATTATCGTTTTTCAGATGGCTTTCACCTGAAAAGCTTAAGGATGCCAAAACCCCTTACTCTAAACAATGCGACATATACAGGTATAATTTCAATGCTTAAATATTGGTATTCTGAAATATAAGATTTCTCACTCTTTATTAATAATCCAATAGTTTTTCAATATTGCTTTGGGAGTTGGCTTTTCAAAAAATGCCTTTTGACAATATTAAGAATGTATCTGATTTGATTGAAATTGTTTTGGAAAAAAATGAGCGTCCACCTCTAACAGGAAACATTCCTCCTGAATATGAAGAAATTATGAAACTAGGATGGAGTCCATATCCGATCAAACGCCCAACAGCTGATATGATCTTTAGTAAACTGAAAGCACTTGCTACTTCCTACTCCAAATAATTAGCATCATCTTTTTTTAGTTCTCTCAACAAATGAATAATATTAATAATTAATAATTTTCTAATTTATTCTGTTGATTACAGTTGTTATTTAAGGTCAATTAAAAATTAGTAGTTTTCAAAATACACTAAAGTTTGAAAACTATTCTAATAAAGAATTAGTATATAAAAGTTAAACAGTAACTAATTTTTGCATGCTAAATGAAGTTAAGTACACACATATATAGTTGCTAGTATAGTTGGCGGTAGAATTATTGAATTAGAGCATTACGTCATTTTACCAGATGGTAGAATTAATTACGGCAGAGTACCTGATTACCGTAAATATTATATGCCGTAATGCCGTGTTTCCGTATTCCGTAATGCCATAGTATCGAAGCAATTCTTAAATATGTGCCAGATTTGTATCGAAACAATTTTTAAATGTGTGCCGGGTTTGTGGCGCAGCAAAAATTACCTTAGCTGCTGCAACAAAATCGTCCAACCGGGGTAAATCGCCACCCAAAAATGTATCTAACTTTACGTGACAAATATATCGAGAATAAATATTCGAATAACTCAATAAACGTATCGGTGTTATTTATTATTGGCAGAAAGAACTATATTTTACGGTTCTAAGTATTTGGAATATTCCATCGCCTTTTAAAATACCAGGAACGGAGTACGAAGTACGTAGTGTATGGTTTACAGACAAGTTAATATGCGTGTGCGATTCTCGGCACTTGATTGGTCCGCGTGACTCTATTCATCACGTATTGTTATGCGTTGCCTATTTTTCGCATGTCATTTCACACCTTATACTGGTGGCATGACTATTGCACCTGTTTATACACGTGAACGTATATTATGTCTACCATACGTATATAAGATGAATGATAATAAAACCCGGAACACGAGATTTTATAATAAATGGTGGTAAAAGGATGATTTTTTAGCATAAATACTGGTGGCCCGATGTGAATTATCGCATATGTTCATTAGATTTTGAGGATTTTCCGTTTTTTTTCGTAGTATTTTTTATTGGGTTGATGAAATGATTTGACGTTTAGGTCGCAATTGAGGGCTGCCAGATTTGAACTGGCACTTGTTGACTATAATTTTCATTGTATCCCTTGTTGAGTTAAAATACTATATATGGAATGTCATTTACTAACGCTAACGTTAATCGTAATTTGATCTATGTACGTGCTGATCATTTGAGAATATTAATTATTTTGTTCTAACCAAATATATATGTTGTTGCGCGGTAAATCGGCGAGTCTGTCGCTAATTCTTTCCAATCCTCGTGTAACCTACGGCGGCTAAGTCGAAATAGGCGTGTTAGATTTGGCAGGGTGGTTTATCCGTAGGTAAGTACTCGTCTCTTTTCTTCTAAGTCTTTTCCTTCAACCTATTCTTCTATTAACCTCTGCTTCCTCTTATCTTCTTTCTTTACTTCCTTTAACCTGGGGTTACGATCGTCGAATCGGGTTGGAGTCCTTCTCTTCTCTTAACGGCTTGGTTACGTGATTTATGGCGAACGAACAAAATGCGGTTTTACTAGATTAGTAATGGGCGGACGATAGTAGATTACGGTGTTTTTAACGATAGTTTTAGTTTGGGCGGGATTATAGTTTCACTTTTATATTGGGTTCGATACTGTAAGTTTATTTTAGCAAATTATGTACTTGGGGGTATCGCTTGTTACTTGTTTTCCCCCTGGGCGAAAAGCCCTTTATTTATAATAAAACTTTTATTTACATTTGAGGATTATTTCCTCTACATTGTCTATTTACAATATTT